TAAACTCCAGTGCTGCCAAAGAATGTAAGAGAATATAGCCCTTGTTCTTAAGCAAAGGAATAAAAGGGTATGATAAAATGGACTTTAATAAGGAAAAGAAGACATCCACTAAAGGACTGCAGAAAGAAAAGCTGAGAAAGCTCCAGGACATCACCAGAAAGACAAGAGTTGTTTTATGCTGAAAAAGGCCTTCATTCACCGTAGGGACAAGGATGAATTAAAGGGGACTTATGGGATCCCCAATTGATCTTGAGGTTCCATCACTAGCTTCTAGGAGGAAACTTTTCAGCATGTTCTCAGGTAACTTCTAGAAATAGTCTGATCATAGAGCAGAAAGGCACTGAATCCCCCCAATCCTCCAGGATCAGGATGCTTGAAACCTGCTTGATTCTCCAGAGCAGTTCATCTACAGCAGAACAGAGCATCTGTACTTGGCCTTCCCTGGCTTTTTTTTTTTGGTCGGTTGTAGGGCTTGAACTCTGGGCTTGGGCGCTGTCCCAGAGATCTTCAGCTCAAGGCTAATGCTCTACCACTTGAGCCACAACACCACTTCTGGTTTTCTGGTGGTTAATTGGATCTCAGCCTCCTGAGTAGATGTGATTATAGGCGTGAGCGCCTTCCCTGGGTTTGACATTTCTTTCCTATGACATGTCAAGAACAACCTGGTTCATTTACCCATCCTCAGTAGGCATACTCCACTCTGCAGCTGTGATTAGTGGAGGCCTGTCTACATTCACATTCAGTCTCCCAATCACTAATGACTAAATCTACTCCTGCAAAGGGCAAATGAGGGACTGGAGTATGGCTCAGTGGTAAAGCACTTGCCTAGGATGTAAAGCCCAATCACCAGTGGGAGGAGGGATGTAAAGGGCATCCTGACTGCTGCCCTCTGCTCCTGATCTCTAGCTTTCTCTTGGAAAGTAGACTCTTTCTTTAGCTTCCAGTACATTCCAAGCCTCTAGATCCTCTCTTTTTGTGGTTCTACCACTTCTTCCATTCCTGTGGTTCAAGAGAACACTTCTACACTAAAGTAGAGATCTTAACTTCCCATTTCGGTCTGTCACTTACAATTTTCATCAGCTTCCTGCCTCTTGAGACAATGCAGGAACACAAATTCCAATGGAAGAAAAAAGCTCACCTGCTCCCTGGCCCAACCCTTAGGAAGACAACTCCATAATGCAGGCAGAAAGCTAAGCTACATTGTCAGTTTCTACATCTTACTCCACAACTTTCAGCCAACCAGCAAAATTTCCCCACTCAACCAACTCCTTATGTTCTTCTGGGTCTCCGTCTCAGGCCACTGTACACTTGCCTGGTCCCCCTCACCAGCCACTGATGGATGCAAACCAGATGGTGCCATTCTGCTCAAGTGCTGGGGATCAAGTCCAAGTCCTTCATCTTACCTCAACTTGTAGACATTTAAATTTTTCCCAGCTAGGATCCTCAACAATCCTGGGTCAACCCTTTGCAGTGCAGATTCTGACACTGAGGGCTTAGAAAACAAACAGCTTTCACCAACCTCATCCTGTGTGTCAGGAAGCAGCTCTCTCACCAACCTCATACTATAATATCATGACCATCTCTAGATAAAGGTGAATCTTCCACTTCCATTGCTCCAAGTCTTGTATGGTGACTACTCATAAGCAGAGAAAGTACAAGTCCAGCTAAAACCAAATGCTAGTGAGAATTTTTCTTTTTCTTTTTTTTGGTTGGTCATGGGGCTTGAACTCCAGACCTGGGCACTGTCCCTGAGCTTTTCAGCTCAGGGACAGTGCTCTACCACTTGAGCCACAGCGCCACTTCTAGGTTTCTGGTGGTTAATTGGAGATTAGAGTCTCATAGATTTCCCTTCCCAGGTTGACTTTAACAGCAATCCTCAGATCTCAGCCTCCTGAGTGGCTAGGATTACAGGCGTGAGCCACCAGTGCCCAGTGGGAATGTTTTCTTTTCTTTCTTTTTTTTTTTGTTGGTGGTGGGGCTTGAACTCTGGGCCTGAGTGCTGTCCCTCAGCTCTTCAGCTCAAGGCTAGCGCTCTACCACTTGAGCTACAGCGCCACTTCCAGTTTTCTCCTGGTTTATTGGAGATAAGAGTTTCACGGGGAGGGGGGGGGAAGGGGGGTGTGGGAAGGGGAAACAAAGGAGGAGGCTACAATGCTTGATAAGAAATGTACTCATTATCTTGCCCATGTAATTGTAACCCCTCTGTACAGTATTTTCACAATTAAAAAAAAGAAACAAGAAAAAAAAAAAAAAGAGTTTCACGGACTTTCCTGCCCGGGCTGGCTTTGAACCAAGATCCTCAGATCTCAGCCTTCTGAGTAGCTAGGATTACAGGCGTGAGCCACTGGCACCCGGCTGGAAATGTTTTCTTAAGAAACCTGTTAACAAGACTTTGAAACACCAAAGGGACAACTGTGGTCTGTATACACTATTCCCTTAAGAAGGAAGTCTAGCTGGGTCACACCTGTAATTCTAGCTACTTGATGCCAGCCCCAGGAGAAAAGTTCATGAGACTACTTTTCAACCCATATGCCTGTCATCACAAGCTAAATGAGGCTGAGATTGGGAGGATCACAGTATCAGGCTAGCCTGAGTAGGAAAGTCCTTGATACTTGGTCTCTGTAAAGGAAAACTGGACAGGGTTGTTAGCAAATTTCTGTGATCCCAGCCAAGCCTAAAAATGCTAAGATTGTGACCTAGGTTTATACCAGAGGGAAAGAGACACCTTATCATAAAAACAACCAATTAAAGAAGACGGGACTAGCCGGGCGCTGGTGGCTAACGCCTGTAATCCTAGCTATTCAGGAGGCTGAGATCTGAGGATCGTGGTTCAAAGCCAGCCCGGGCAGGAAAGACCATGAGACTCCTATCTCCAATAAACCACCAGAAAACCGGAAGTGGCACTGTAGCTCAAATGGTAGAGCGCTCGCCTTGAGCTGAAGAGCTGAGGGACAGCACCCAGGCCCGGAGTTCAAGCCCCACGACCGACAAAAAAAAAAAAAAAAAAAGAAGACGGGACTAGTAAAAGACAAGGTTGGAGGCATGGCTGAGGAAGTTTTTCCCAGGACTACCAATGACAGAGGAGAGAGGAAATGGAGGGAGAGGGGAGATATGGCAGCTGTACCTCCAGGTTCATTCCATCTACTAATTAATTCCAAGCTACAACCTCCACCTCCCAGCATTTGCTCTACTAACAAGCATTAACTACCAGCAGCATACCAGGCCCAAATATTTTACAAATCAACCCCAGTTCTTTTATAGACTCATCACTAACAGCTAAAAACTTTAAGCAAGGTTCCTAAACAGCCTTCCCAGGACCTAGGACCTTAATAGGCAGACATAGAATGGAACCCAGTCTTCTGACTCAAGGACCATACTGCTGGCCCCCACATCATGAGAACGTCATGCTTTAGGATTAATAGCCTCAACAGTCTACTTATCACCAGGAACCTCCATGTGGACCCCACCACAGGTTCCCTCCCCAGAGAGGAGATCAGGGCCATATTTGAAGGAAATGGCCAGGAGCCTCTGAGAGTTCACAGCTGCCAATCCAAGCCATCAGCCCACTCCTTAGCTATACCCAGCTGTGTGCAAGAATGAAAGGAGGTATAGAGATGGCCTGTCAGAGCCTAGCACACAGCAGCACTCAACACACTATGTAGTGCTTATTCACAAAGACCTGCCTTCCTGCACTAATGATGTTCAAGGGCTCATTGAGATCCTTCTATTTGGACCTTGGGCCAGACGACTTCCCACCTGCCCAGGTCAGAGGGCACCTCCCATCACACATTCTCTTTTAGGATAGAGTATATTCAGAGCCTGGCCTGGGATACACATATCCAGCCCAAAGGAATGCAGAGATGAGAAGCATGACTGTTGTCCAAGGTGGCTCTGGAACCCCAAAGAATGAGGATAGAGAAGACTACAGAAGAACCAATGCCTTAACATTTTTAGATGGCCTCAGTGTTTTTACTTTTTTGGGGGGTGGAGAGTGAGGTGGGGCTTGAACTCAGGGCCTGGGCACTGTTCCTGAGCTTTTTTGCTCAAGGCTAGCATTATACCACTTTGAGCCACACTGCCACTTCCAGTTTTCTGATGGTTAACTGGAGATAAAGAGTTTCAATGGACTTTCCTGACCCATCTGGCTTTGAACCGCAATCTCAGTCTCCTAAATAGGATTACAGCTGGCCACCAGCGGCCAGCTCTGTGTTTTTACTTCAATTCTGGGAGTTACTCAAAATATTGAAAGGAAGCAGTAAAAACGTGGAGCTAAGAGAGGACCTGATAAACCTTACTTAAATGTAAGAAAAAGAGAGAACAGGACAGCTCAGCAGTAGACCACTGGCCTGGCATGAATGAAACCTTAGGTCTAATCCTGAAAAAAGAATTAAAAATTGAGGAGATTAAAAAAAGAAAAAACAGGAAAAGGAAAAGTTGCAGCAGTCGACAAGAGGAAAGGAAATTAACTCAGCATGCATTATAAAATTTTTCTCAATACTTATGCCATTCCTTGTTCTGCAATCCTGAAGGCAACAAGCAATCAAAGATCTTAGCAAGACTATGAGAGCATCTCAAGTTCAGTTAATTTGATATTAAGTGTGTACAGATAATAGCATCAGGATATGTGGAGTTCACCTTTTCTATGTCCTTCTAGCTGCTATCCATGAATTCTGCTCCACTATAACGCTCAAGTGCACCAAAAAAATGCCCTGTGGTGTTAAAAATCAAGTAGAAGTATCTTTCTCCAAATCGGGAGGAGGGCTCCCATGAAGGGGTGTGTGAAGATCTTTATTCTTTGTGTGTGTGTCATACTCAGGGTCTGGGTGCTGTCTCTTCGCTTTTTTTGCTCAAGACTGACATTCTACCACTCAAGCCATAGAAGTGCATCTCACTCTGAACGAGTCTTTTAAATATCTTAAAAAGCCATTCCCAGATTCAATGACATCGCCTTCTGGCATAGGTGCCTTCCACGGGGAGTTGGTCCTGATCCCCTTCCTTACCTCGCTTGAATTCCTCCAGGACGGCGTCTAGCTTGGTGTCGTTAAAGACGAAGTGAAGTGGATGGTTGTAGAAGCGGGTGATGGTGGTGAGTGGCGTGCAGTCTTCGGGGTCCACGAAGGCCAAGTCCTTGAGATAGAGCATGTCTACGATGTTGGAGCGCTCGTCCTCATACACTGGGATGCGCGTGTGACCGCTCTGCATGATGCTGGCCAGGACGCCGAAGTCCAGCACGGCGCTGGCGTCCAGCATGAAGCAGTCTTCGAGCGGGGTGAGCACGTCCTCCACGGTCCGGTAGCGCAGCACGCCCTTGCTCAGGTCATGGTAGGGATCGCCACCGCCGCGCGCCAACTCCAGCACCCGCTCGCGTAGTCGCCCGGGCCTCGCTGCCATCTCCAGTAACTGCCCCACGGGCAGCGCCACCGGCAGAGTGAGCAGCACCGCCAGGCGGCTGAGACCGAGCGCTCGGGGCGCCAAAGCCAGTGCCCAGCGCCCGCTCACGGCGGCCGGCAGCACCTCGCCCACCAGAAACACGAGCCCTGCGCAGCCCAGCACGGCGGGCACGGCGCGTTGGCCCGCTGCGCGGTACAACACCACCGCCAGGGCCGCCTGCGCCAGGCTGGCGAGGAGTAGCAGCGCGCCCAAGGCGCAGCCGGCCCAACGCCGAGCCGGTTCCAGGCGCCGGGCCGCCGCACGCTCCGTTTCCGAGCCGCTCTCGCGCAGCACCTGCACGTCGGCGGGCGCCAGCGCCAGCGCACTCAGCTGCAGGCCTCGGGCCAGCGCCGCCAGCGCCAGCAGCCCGGCCGCCCCCAGGCCCAGCGCCCAGGGCGGCGCCGCCTCCTCCGCTCCGCCGCCGCCGGGCTCCACGCGCACCGCCAGCAACGCGGAGTGCGGACGGCCGGCCTCAGCGCGCAGACGCAGCAACGCGCGCCACTCGCCCGGAGGGGGCACCGCCTCCTCGGGCGACACAGCCAGCCCGCCCTCGGGGCAGCCGGCCCCTTCAGGGGCCACCCAGGTCCAAGAGCTGTTGGCCAAGCCCGAGCCAAAGAGGCGCAGGCGGAAGGTGGCCTCTGGAGAGGCCTCTCCGCGCACCCACCCGGAGCCCACCTCCTCCAGGCAGAAGCCTAGCAGTCGCGGGCCCGGCGCCACCTCCCCCGCGGCGTTGCCCAGGTAGAACACAGCGAGCACCCAGCCTAGCCGACCGGCCGCAGCTGCAGCCGCCGCCATCGCCCGCAGCCCCCTCTCGGCTTGTCGCGCAGCCTACCCCGCTCACCCCGCGCCTCCGCCTCCCCTGGCCAATCATCGCCCGCCTTTTCTCCCCATCAGCCAATAAGCGGCGGATGAGGGCGGGCCCTGGGGGTCGGGCTAGGCTGCGCCAGGGAGTAAACAAGCGGCGCGGGGCGGGCCGGGGGCGTGGGGCCCTTGGCCCGCCTGGGGAGCTGTGGTCGGTCCCTGAGCGAGCTGTGGCCCGCGCCTGGGGACGCCGAGTGGTGAGCCGGGCTGTGGGCCCTGAGGGGGCCTCCGACTCCGCGCGCCCGAGGTTGGTTCGGAGCTCTGGATTCAGCGCGGGTCGTGGCGCGCCTGAAGTTGCCCTGAAGATACGTGTGCGGAAAGCATGTGGTTTCTTTTTATTTTAAAGGTCCTCCAGGAACTAGGGATGGCTTTCCAGAAGCCATTGGGGACGGCGTAACTGAGGTCCCACCGGAGAGACCCTTAGTAAAAGCACAGACATACAAAGCTAGTTTATCGGGGCGCCGGTGGCTCTTGCCGGTCAGCTAGCTACTCAGGAAGCTGAGATCTGAGGGTCGCGGATGGAAGAAAAGCCCGAGAGAGGCTCATCCGCACTTAATCACCAGAAAATCCGCAAGTGGCGGAATGGCTCAAAATGGCAGAACGCTAGCTTTGAGCGAAAAAGCTCCAGGAACAGCGCCCGAGCCCTGAGTTCAAGCCCCATGACCGACAGAAACAGAATCAACAACCACAGAAAGCACGGTGGTGTATCCGGTCGCTCGTGGCTCACACCCGTACTAGCTCCTCAGGAGAGGGAGATCTGAGGATCGCAGTTGAAAGCCAGCCCCAGCAGGAGAAAGTCGGTGAGACGTTCACCTCCAATGAACTACATCTCATCCCCCACCCCCCCCCCCAAAGCCATTAGTGGAGCTGCCGCTTGAGCAAAACAGCTCAGCGACAGCGCCCAAGCCCTGAGTTCAAGGCCCAGAGCCCATTTCACTGAATCCTCACAGCGGCTTCATATAATGAGTATCTTAGGGGAGAAAAATGAAGCTCCCAGACTCAGCATGGATGTTGAGTTCTGATGCAACCTAACACCCCAGTCACCATTCTAGCCGTGCTATGAAGATGCAGCTCTGTCAGGAATTTCTAGATCTGCTCATTCCACTCCCAGTCCTTAAGAGGATTCAGGACAAGAATTCCCTTATTTTTGTATGTGTATGCCAGTACTGGGACTTGAACTCACTCAACGGCTTGGGCACTGTACCTTTTTCACTCAAAGCTAACACTTGAGCCACAGCTCCATTTCCTGCTTTTTGCTGGTTAATTGGAGATAAGAGTTTTTGCCAGTCGCTGGTGGCTCACGCCTGTCATCCTAGCTACTCAGGAGGCTTAGATCTGAGGATCGTGGTTCAAGGCCAGACAGCGCAGAAAAGTCCGTGAGACTCTTATCTCCAATAAACCACCAGAAAACCTAAAGTGGCGCTGTGGGCTCAAGTGATAGAGCACTAGCCTTGAGCTGAAGAGCTGAGGGACAGCACCTAGGCAGAGTTCAAGCCCCAGACCAACAACAACAGAGTTTCATAGACTTGGCTGGGAATGTGGCTTAATAGTAGAGTGCTTGCCTAGCATGCATGAAGCCCTCACTACCACATAAACAGAAAAAAAAAAAAAAAAAAAAAAGCCAGAAGTGGTGCTGTGGCTCAAGTGGTAGAGTGCTAGCCCTGAGCAAAAAAGGTAGCTCGGGAATAGTGCACAGACCCTGAGTTCAAGCCCCATGACTGGCACAAAAAAATTAAAAAAGGTTCATAGACTTTCCTGCCAGGATGGTTCAAATCACCATCTTCAGATCTCAGCCTTCTGAATGGTTAGCATTACAGGTATGAGCCACTAATGCCCAGCTAATGCCCTTATTTTATAAACAATTTGCTTGTGGAATGTTTGGCTCTCACTGCACATGAGTTTTATGTGCTTCCAGGCTGCTATGGTGCCCTACCATTGCCTGCCTTCTCACAGTCTACAGAATAAGCCACCACCTGAAGCAATAATGACATGACTGGGGCTTTGCACAGGATTGTCCTGTCTCCTCTAAAGAAAAAAAGGTTGTGTAAGCTTTATACTGGACTCTGCCATCCAGTGATCACTTCTTCCTCTCCAGGTCAAGATAAAATGCTGACTTGGAGATAGAACAGATGATGTGACCCAAATGAGTCATGTGCCTGAAGTCATTAACTAGCAAAGAACAGTTCTAGAGGAAAGGAAGGAAATCCCTGTGGAGTTAGAAATACAAACTCTTGCCTTTGGCAAGTCACCTTCTTCCATGTTCTCAATCTTGCTTTGAAAACAACCATAGTGAATTTTTTAAAGGGAAAAACTCAATAGAAGAACAATTGGATCAAGTGTTGAAAATACTAATTACTTAAACTACTAATACCTAAAGATACAAAGAATCTAGGACTGAGAAGACAAAGATGCTCAGAGGTTTTCCTTGTGTTATGCTGTGTGTGTGTGTGTGTGTGTGTGTGTGTGTGTGTGTGTGTGTGTGTGTGTGTGTGTGTGTGTGTGTGTGTGTGTGTGTGTGTGTGTGTGTGTGTGTGTGTGCGTGTGTGCTGGTCCTGGGGTCTGGGCACTATCCCTGAGCTGCTTTTGCTCAAGGCTATTGCTCGACCACTTGAGCCACAATTCTACTTGTGGCTTCTTTGTGGTTAACTTGACATTAGTCTCACAGACTTTCCTACCTGAGCTGGCTTTGAACTGCAGTCCTCCGATCTCAGCCTTCTGAGTATCTAAGATTACAGGCATGAACTACCTGCACCTGGCCTTTGTGTCATTTTTTTTTTCTTTCTTTTTTTTGCGTCCGGTCCTGGGGCCTGAACTCTGGGCCTGGGCGCTGTCCCTCAGCTCTTCAGCTCAAGGCTAGCACTCTACCACTTGAGCCACAGCGCTACTTCCGGCTTTTTTCTTTTTGCTTATGTAGTGCTGAGGAATCGAACCCAGGGCCTCAGGCATGCAAGGCAAGCACTCTACCCCTGAGCCACCTTCCCAGCCCCTTTGTGTCATTTAGCCCACTGCTGGTTGGTTAGTCATAGCTATAGTTTTACTGATCACTTATACCAAGACATTTTAAAAGCTGGTAGGCAGCAGTTTATATCTGTATTTCTAGCTACTCAAGAGGCTGAGTGCAGCTGGGTGCCGGTGGCTCACGCCTGTAATCCTAGCTACTCAGGAGGCTGAGATCTGAGGATCAAAGTTCAAAGGCAGCTCAGGCAGGAAAGTCCATGAAACTCTTATCTCCAATAAAAACCACTAGAAAACCGGAAGTGGCACTGTGGCTCAAGTGGTAGAGCGCTCACCTTGAGCTGAAGAGCGCAGGGACAACGCCCAAGCCCAGAGTTCAAGCCCCACAACTGACAAAAAAAAAAAAGGCTGAGAGCTGTTGGATCAAGGCTTAAAGCCAGCTGGGGCAGAAATGTTGGAGACTCCCTCTCGAAAACAATGCCAGGCTGGGGCCGGTGGCTCATGCCTGTAATCCTAGCTATTCAGGAGGCTGAGATCTGAGGATCATGGTTCAAAGCCTGCCCGGGCAGGAAAGTCCGTGAGACTCTTATCTCCAATAAGCCACTAGAAAACCAGAAGTGGTGCTGTGTCTCAAGCGGTAGAGCACTAGCCTTGAGCTGAAGAGCTGAGGGACAGAGCCCAGGCCCAGAGTTCAAGACCCACAACCAACCAAAAAAAACCAAAAAACAAAAAACAATGCCAGGTCCCAGTGGCTCACACCTGTAATCCTAACTACTCAGAGGTGGAAATCTGAGGATGACAGTTCAAATCCAGCCCAGGCAGGAAAGTCTCTGAGACTCTTCAGTAAAATACCAAAAGCCAGAAGTAGAGCTGTGGCTCAAGTAGTAGATTACTAGCCTTGAGCACAAAAGTTCAGGAATAGCACCCAGGCCAAGATCAGGACAAAAAAAAAAAAAAAAGCAGAGTTGGAGATGTGACTCAATTGGTAGAATACTAGCTGAGCAAGTGTGAGGCCAAGTTCAAAATCTGGTACTACCAAAAGACATTTCTACTTTTTATCTATTTATTGCTATTATTACTGTAGTAGGAATTGGATGGAGAGCCTCATTGATGCTAAGCAAGTACTCTAGTACTTGAGCCACTTTTTTTTTTTTTTGGTCAGTCATAGGGCTTGAACTCTGGGCCTGGGCACTGTCCCTCAGCTCTTCAGCTCAAGGCTAGCACTCTACCACTTGAGCCACAGCACCACTTCCAGTTTTCTAGTGGTTTATTGGAAATAAGAGTTTCCTGGCCTTTTCTGCCCTGGCTGGCTTTGAACTGTGATCCTCATATCTCAGCCTCCTGAGTAGCTAGGATTACAGGCATGAGCTACCGGCACTCAGCTTGAGCCACATTTTTAAATCTTGCTTTTATTTTTATCTTGTAGTGTTGTTTTTGTCTTTATTTTTTAGTGCCAATCTTGGGGCTTGAACTCAGGGTCTGGGCACTAAGCTTTTATGTTCAAAACAATTGCTCAAAAAACAACAAAATTAGCACTCTACCTACCACTTGAGCCATAGCTCCACTTCTAGCCTTTTTTTTTTTTTTTTGGTAATTGGAGATGAATGTCACAGACTTTCCTGCCCAGGCTGGCTTCAAACCACAATCCTCAGAGCTCAGCCTCCTAAGTTGCTAGGATTGCAGGCCTAGGCTTGTGAGCCACCAGCACAGCTTTTTATCTTTTTGAGATAAATTATCTATTAACTTTGCAGGGGCTAGCTTCCAACATGCTTGGCTTAAGTATTTATTCTTCAGTTTGAGATTCATAGCTCCTGCTGGACATAGTGGTATATGCCTATAAACCCAGCACTTAGGAGGCTGAGGCAGGAGGATTTTAAATTTAAGACCAGTCTGCTACAAAGTGAGACCCTGCCTCAAAACAAACTCTCATAACTATTGGGTGAAACCTCACTGGCTAAGTAACTCCTACATATCTCTGAAGCTTAACTCAAATGTCCTTTCCTCTAAATGATATTTCCTGACTTGCTGACTAGTTTGAGTCAAGGTTATTGGAGCTATTTGCTTCCCCCAGCCCCCAGAATAGGTAGTACTTACCTTATTTTCATTTATCCAACAAGTGTTTCCTCCTTGTGTGCCTGTACAACATAGGTACTGTTCTAATGCTAAGACTGTGGTGGGAATAAGATAAAGCCCTTGCCCTCATGAAACTTTGATTCTACTGTGGGAACAGCAGAAAATACACAGGTCTGCATTTAAACTTTTAGCAGTGAAGACTAGAGGGAAAAAGGTAAGCTAGGAAACCAAGAGATTGAGATGATTCAGTTTTAGATAGGATAATTAGGGAAGGCCTAGAACCTAGAGCTTCACAAATGCTAGGCAAAGCTGTACCACTGAGCTATATCCCCACCACATCTGAACAGAAATTTAAATGAAGTGAGGAACCTCACAAAGATTTGGGAGAAGTGTCTCAAAAAGAGACAGCAAGTAAAAAGTCACTTGTGTGATTTTTCTCCCTGGTGTGGGGCTGGGGTTGGGGTGGGGTAGTGGGGAGTGGCGGTGGTCTTCTTTAGGAAGTTCACTGAGGAGTTGGCAGTAGCTGGCACACAGCAGGGGCTTAAACGTATTTGGAATGGAATGTCCGTCTGTGCATAACTTTTGCTACTACATCTAACAACCTTCTTTCCTTTGATGTCTCCCTAATTGCTTCCCTTTTCTTTTCTTTTTCTTTCCTTCTCTCTCTCTTTTTTTTTTCTTCCATGTCAGTCATAGGGCTTGAACTCTGGCCTGAGCACTGTTCCTGAGCCCTTTGGCTCAAGACTAGTGCTCTACCACTTGAGCCAAAGTGCCACTTCCAGTTTTCTGATAGTTTATTGGAGATAGCTTCTCATGGACTTATATGCCCAGGCTGACTTTGAACTGCTATTCTCAGCCTCCTGAGTAGCTAGGGTTACAGACATGAGCCACAGGTGCTCAGCTTCCTCCTCTTTTTTGAGAAACAGGATTTCGTTTTTTTAACTCAGGTTAGCCTTGAACTTGGGATCTTCTGCCTCAAGTCTCCTAAGTGCTGTGACAACAGACATGCACTGCCACACCTGGCTCTGAGTACCTCCTTTTCAAACACCAGTCTGTTGGCTGTTAAGTCTTGGTTGCTGGTGCCCTTTCCATTTGTGCACTGGACAGCACACACTAGACCATAGGATGTGTGTACTGAGGATTCCACAGCTGCAATTCTGAGAATGGAAGCTACAAGATAATCCTCCATCAGGCTCTTCAGAGGATTTACATGCCAAACCTTGAAACCATACCAGCCTATTAGTATGGACAAAGAGGCAACTAATGTAATAATACCATTACACATATCTGATCAAGCTTGTCCATTCTCATGCTCCAAAGAGATAGGCAATTCTTCCCCCCCCCCCCCCCCCCCCCCCCCCCCCCCCGCCAGTGGTGGGGCTTGAACTCTGGGCCTGGGCGCTGTCCCTCAGCTCTTCAGCTCAGGGCAAGCACTCTATCACTTGAACCGAAGTGCCATTTCCAGGTTTCTGAAAGTTAAAGAGTCTCATGGACTTTCCTGCCTGGGCTGGCTTTTAACTACGACGCTCAGAGCTCAGCTTCTTGAATAGGTAGGATTACAGACTGATGCCTAGCTGACAATGATTCTTTCTAGCTCTGCCTCCTCTAGCATCCACAGGAAAAGACCAAAGTCACCTAATTTACAGGATTTACTTAAGAACATTTGCCCTATATGTCTACCAGCAGTTCCCACTCTCCAACTCCTGTGACAATAGCCTTAATTATAAGTGTTTTGTAAATTACAGTTTTCCTTGCTAAAGAGTCCTATAACACTTTATTGCCCCTGGCCGTTACAAATGACAGTCACTTCTATCTGCCATAGATGTTAATATGGACAAATGAAACAGGCAAGCTATACACTTACCAAGACTTAAACATATTTCATTTTATTACCAATCAAAAATAAATTCCATATATTGTTCAGCAAATATTATCATTGTTTTGTGACAAAAGACACAAGAGTCATAACAACAAAACTCCCCGAGAGTCAAACTCATAACAATGCCAAAATAAATCACAAAAATATACAAATTAAAATTTTATGCAAAATAAATAGGAGTTATTTGCTATGGTGGCTGTGACTTGCCTACCCATTTGGATGCCAATTGCAATGTCTCACTTGGGAGACATGCACAATAGGTCAGTTCCAGAGTATGGCTCAGCCCAGGAACCAGAGGTTGGAATAGGAAGTGAAAAATTGCACTGGGAGGAGGAAGTCATTGGACCGGTAATATTTGGAAATAATTATGACCCTCTGCAAGAAGTGATTGTAAATGGGATGATGTCGGGGAGGGGAGAGGGACTGACAGTTGGTAGTAACCATGGGCAAAGAGGTAGCTGCAGAAGTGTGTGCACCTGTTCCTTTTGCCTCACACCTACTCACGTGGCTCAGGCCAACGTGTTTTGCTCCACCTGGCACAATCAGGTACACAGCTGGGCTAGCTCCTTTTGGGACTCAGCAAGCTGCTCTTGTAGAAAACTAAGAGTTTCCTATGTGGGGGTGGGGAGTGTTAAAGGTTAGGTGGTTTTTCTTCTTTTGGTTGACAACTTATTACCACCTTTTCTTCCAAGCTTCTAGGAGTAAAGTCTGTGCTGGGGATGACCTCAGTCTGGCCAGGGCCACACTTGGTGCAAGACACACCCTGTTCCTAGGAGTTAGGATTCACTGGGTACCTAGTGAGCAGAACACTTGGGCAACAGGACAATGCCACTGGCTAAGGAAAAGTACAAATAAAAACTACTCAGGCAGAAAGCCTGCAGCATCTCCTCCACCACACCCCAGCTTCTATTCCACTTAACAAGATGGACGTGGCCCCAGCTTCCCCACAGTGAAAGCCTGGACCTCTACAGCATGGCCTGATTCCAAAACCCAGGGAAGAGGGCTGAGGCAGGGCTGCACACAGGGGTGGGCTGTCAGTACCACCAGCTGCAGTGAGGCCAGGCTGCACGCTCTCACTAGGTTCTCACAAGTACAGGAAACCAGGGCTGCCAGTGGCAAGCCTTTAACAAGATCCCTTATTTCCCAGGGTTCCTTAAGTGGACAAATAAGATCAGGGAAACCTCAGCAAGCAGCTGAGAAAAAGGCATGACAAACAAGCTCCTGTCTTCACTCCCCAGAGAGATTGGGGTATAGAGATGAGAAATAAGTCTGGGAAAAGGGTTTCCTGGGTCAACTGAGCCTGACCTCCTTGTAGGTAGGTATGGGTAGAATTAACTGCTAACAATGCAGACGTCTATGACCAGAGTCTTTTCTGGTATAGAAAGGAGGACTGCAGACAAGTTACCTCTGGTGCAGATGCCCTCCCCATCAAGGGGGGAACCTTTGGTAAAAGTGAGGTCAGGGCCTGAGAAGCAAGTAAGCAATCGTAAAGCCAAACACTCTGCCTAACACTTGGAGGCAGCCCCATCCCGGGGGGAGGGGGGTTGTCTGAAGGAGTATATGGGAGATGGGGAGGGTCCTTAGTCAAGCCTTGACTCACCAGGAGAGCCATCAACAGAGTTCTGGCAGATTTCTGATCCAGTGGTTGACAGCAGTAGATGTGCTCCCCTCTGTTGCTGGGGTTATCATGTCCCTGATCAGTTACCCAGCTGTTCGCAGCTTCAGTGACCTCAGATAGGACTTGGTGCACATGTCCAGGCAGCTGATCTCAATGCCATTTGGTTCTTTGCTTCCTAGGAAGAGCCAATCCCTTCTCCTATGGGCTCTGGGCCTCCACGGTGGTAGCAGAAGCACGGCTCCCAGAGTCAAGGATTCAGACTAGAAGATCATGTCAGAGCAGAGTATGGCTCTTGCTTCCTAGGGTGAGAACCCTCCTTCTTTTAAAGTCTTTTTGGAAAAAAAAATTTTTTAAATATAAAATTCCTTAACCCTGTCTTCCCTTCCCAAAATGATATTTAAAAAGAGGAGCAATGAGCCTAGCTTAGAAATTCTGTAAGTAAAAAAACCAGCCTTTGCTCACATAGCTGGCCTACTGCCTCACTGGACCAGGGCTGGGCAGCCACCACCACAGTGCTGTTCAGAGGTCCCCGTCAGCAGCTAGGTCCCCATAGGTAGGACTGTCTGGCTGCTTAGTTATGCAGGCTATCTATCTACCTGCACCCCTTCTGGCCTAACAGGCTCCCTGTCTTCATGTGGGCCCACCAGGGAGGCCCCCGCAGGGTGGGCGGGGGGCCCCCAGGCCCTCCTGTCAGATGGCACTCTCTTGAGAGGCTCTGTGTAGCAAGGAGTTGCGCTCATTGAGAAGAGTCGTGGTCTCATCCACCACCGACAGCTGAGACTTCTCAGAAAAGTTCTCTGCACAGGAGGTAGAGCCATCCAAGGGAAACTGAGGGCTGCTCTCCATGCGGGAGGCCAACAGTCCATTCTGGTACTGCTGCCGAGTGATCTGAAAAAGGTGAGAGAGGGGGATGAGATTGCAGGGCAGAGGCTGGCTGGGAGGCAGGTCTCAAGGCCAGACTGGGCCTGGGGAGCGGACCAGACTAAGGCCACAACACACGACCTGAACAGGAGTGGTGGCTAGAACTCATGCAAAGAACACTGGGCAGGGCTGGGCTTACACCCAAATCCTAGCTACTCAGGAGGCTGAGATCTGAGAATTGCAATTTGAAGCCAGTCTGAGTAGGAAGGCCCATAAGACTATCTTCCAAAAAAATTAGGCATGAAGCTGTGGCTCAAGTGGTAAAGTGCTAGCCTTGAACAAAAAAGCTTAGGGACAGCTCCTAGGCCTTACATTCAAGCCCCAGACAAGCACCTGCACACATCTGCGTGTGCGTGCATGCACACACACACACACACACACACACACACACACACGAATATAGGGGCAAGAATGGGAAGGAAGTGTCTGGATTTGGTGGATGAAGAAAGGTTTTACTGACTCTTGTAGCATGAGGGAAGGGCTGTGAGAGATGCTTACCTTAATGTACTGAAGGTCCATAAGTGCCCGGACGCTGAAGTCAGAGGTGTATTGGCCCAGGCTGCAGCTGCCAAACTGGTTACAGCTGCTTGTGAGGGTGGTGGAGGGCGACATATCTATGCTGTGGTCTGGGTAACTGAGGGAGGCCGAGCGACTGAGAGGGACGGGGTGGGATGGGGATCGGTCTGTGGGGAGAGTAGAGGCCATCAGGCTGAGAGCCATTCTGACACCTTTTCCAACTCTTGTCTGAAGGCCTGGCCCACCCAGCGTTCTTGGGGACAAGCAAGAGTATGCTGAAGCTCTAACTGCACAAGGTTTGGCCTCCTTAAAGCCAATGAGTTGGTATTTAGAAGAAGGGTCATGCAACAAATATTAACAAGTCTATTAAAGCCAACCAGCCAGAAAAGAAAACCCAAGACAAAGTTTATGGCTGCTATCCCTTTCTCAATAACAGCTTATGTCAAGTAACATAAGCAGTATACTTTTAAACAAAAGATTCTTATTAAAAGGAAGAACATACAGGTTGGGTACAGTGGTCCACACTATAATCCCAGCACCCAAGAGCTTGAGATCTAAGTATGGCAGTTCAAAGCCAGCCTGAGTGGACACATCTAGAAGACTCTTAACTACAATTAATCAGCCAAAAGCCAGAAGTGGAGGCAGGGTTCAAGTAGTAGAGTACCCATCATGAACAAAAAAGCTAAGTAAGTCCAAGCCCCATACTGACACAAAAGAAAAAGAACCGGCACAGGCCGGGCACCGGTGGCTTACACCTATAATCCTAGTAACTCAGGAGGCTGAGGTCTGAGGATCGAAGTTCAAAGCTATATCAGGCAGGAAAGTCCATGAGATTCTTATCTCCAATAAACCACTAGAAAACTGGAAGTAGTGCTGTGGTTCAAATGGTAGAGTGCTAGCCCTGAGCTGAAGAGCTGAGGGACAGCGCCCAGGCCTAGAGTTCAGGCCCCACAACTGACCAAAAAAAAAAAAAAAAAAAAGAACACACAGTTTGGACTCTTTCATTATGAAAACATGTTCCCAATATAATGCTGTCACATCCTATAAGGCTCTTGGAGGGTCAAAGGTGTGTTCGGCACCTGACAAGCTCAGTATGGAACTCCGTGCTACTCACTTCTGTCTCACCCGCAGCCAGCCTGACAACAAACAGTTCCCTCTCACAGAAACTCAGAGATCCCTGCTGTGGGGCAGTGAAGGCCTCTCTACCCAGGAAAGGGCAATGACTCAAGCTTGAAGAACAGGGAAAGCTAGGAGGAACTAGCACAAAATTTTTGCACATCTTTAGTACTCAGTTTTGAGAATCCTTACAGAACAATGAAATGTACAAAAATGTTAATTGTGAAGCATGCAAGCTTGTTTAAACAGGAAGTGGATTGAGCTGATTTTCTATTTAATTAACTACTAAGTTACTAACTACTGGACTATCTTATCCCTATCCCAGTGGAGACAGCAAACATGCTCAACTGAATACAGGCTTTATCCAAGTGAGGCCAAAGTAAGTAATACTCTATTTTTGTGATTTTTGTAAAAGTAGGAAAATAGAATCTGGCTATTCTATGACTGAGTAGTAGAATCTCATCCAGGAACAAGCAACAGAGGATCATGTATAAATAACTAACTTTAAGTAGCACCACCAGAAATACTGGGGGTACTACATGATATTTCACATTAACTATTCGATAATAAAATGCTTTTTAGTTAATGCTTACTAACAAACCAGAAATAGGAGCTGAATTCTTTTATTTTTTTATTCTTCACTACCTGAAACTGAAACCAGTCTTAATCATGCTATAGAAGCGCCCTCCTGCTAAGTGGCACCAGGAACTGCATTTTAAAGTAACAAATTATGACGCATTAGAGGTCATAAAAGTTCTAGAAAGAAATACACCAGGGGCTGGGAAGGTGGCTCAGTGGTAGAGCGCTTGCCTTGCATGCCTGAGGCCCTGGGTTCGATTCCTCAGCACCCCATAAGCAAAAAGAAAAAAGCCAGAAGTGGCGCTGTGGCTCAAGTGGTAGAGCGCTAGCCTTGAGCTGAAGAGCTGAGGGACAGCGCCCAGGCCCAGAGTTCAGGCCCCATGACGGGACCCCCCCAAAAAAAAAGAAAAAAAAAGAATTTTTTCCCCGTTTTTCCATTACTTTTTCAGTTAAAACATTATAAGAAAAACCAGGGTGGGAGTGGCACTGTAGCTCAAATGGTAGAGCACTTACCTTGAGCTGATAGAGCTAAGGGACAGCGCCTAGGCCCAGAGTTCAAGCCCCAGGACCAACAAAAAAAAAAAAGGAAAAATTATATCTAGAGAAAAAAGAAAAACCAGGGTATTTTTTAAATTAGTAATTAAGGACATGATTTTAAACATAGAAAAAGCTTTTTGCATAGTTTTTTTTAATATAATCATGTTATTTATAATAAAGACAAACACCAAATATATGTAGAGACTTAATAAATAAAGCCAGTATACCATATGGCTCTTGATGGAGAGGAGGGTTTTATGAGAAAGAACCTCTGTGATCAGATTAGGTGAAAGTACAAGATTCAAGTCATGAAGCATTCCATGGAACAAGAGCAGATTCAAAGCCACACCGGTGAGGCTTAAAAACAAGTGACTTCTTCTAATCCACTTTTCCATTTATTTATTTGTTTGTTTTGTTGGTCATAGAACTTGAATTCTGGGCCTTGTGTGTTGTCCTGAGCTCTTTAACTCAAGGCGAGCGCTCTACCACTTGAGCCACAGTGCCACTTCCATTATTTTTAAGAGTATCAAAATAATATAGTGTGGGGCTGGGAAGTTGGCTCAGTGGTAGAGTGCTTGCCTTGCATGCATGAGGCCCTGAGTTCGATTCCTCAGCACCACATAAGCAAAAAGCAAAAAACCGGAAGTGGCACTGTGGCTCAAGTGGTAGAGTGCTAGCCTTGAGCTGAAGAGCTGAGGGACAGCGCTCAGGCCCAGAGTTCAGACCCCACGACCGGACCCAAAAAAAAAAAATAATATAGTGTGTTCAGAATCATTAAGAAAAAACTTGCTGGGTATGGTGGCTCATACCTAATAATCATAGCTACTCAGGAGGCTAAGATCTGAGGATCACGGTTTAAAGCCAGCTTGGGCAGGAAAGTTCATGAGACTCTGCTATGGTTCAAGTGGTAGAGTGATAGCTTGAGCAAAAGAAGTTCAGGGACAGCACCCAGGCCCTCAGTTCAAGCCCCAGGACCAGCAACTCCCACCTCCTCCCAAAAAGAAAGAAAAGATTTAAAAAACTGCAAAAAAATAAAAGAACTGAAGGGCTGAGGGTATGACACAGTGGTAGAGCAAATGCCTAGCAAGATAAGGCCCTGGGTTCCATCCACACTACCACTACTTTAATGCTATCAGGTCCTAAAACCTAGGAATCCTAAGGAACCTCAACTAGGATGTATCTGTCCAGTACTGTCCCCATGTCTCCTGGGATAGATATCAGAGGAATGTGGTACATGGCTTTTGTCTTTTCCTAAACACTTTCTGACAGGAAGCCATATTTTAGTTGCAATTCAGAAAAATCAGTTCTCTCACTTATTGCCTGACAGCCACCTCCCATGTGAAAAGGTCAACGCAGAGGAGGATCTAGCTAGTAACTTACAGATAGGGTTCTCAGGGTAGCCTGACTGGGGCTCCTCCCTTACCTGCTGGACTGTGGCCTTGTTTGGCAGGCCGCCAGATGGACCACAGCCACTGACTGGAAAGCAAGGCAGAAAGGTGGGAAGGGTTTCAGAAAGCTGATGAGAAGTCATGTTATCTTGCCCAGGCTTGAGAGCAGCCTGGAGCACTCAGCCTATCATCTGAACGGGTGTATTTGTATGTGTGTGGATTTTTATATGGGGGAGTGGGTTAGGCCTTCTGAAGAACTGAAGAATCTTTGTGGAGGCTCCATCACCAAAGCAAAATACTAGAGCAAAGTACTGGCTGGCTCCCAAGTGTGCCCAGGTGAGATCTCCCAGGTGTTTGTAGGGCTAGGTTAATACAGCTGCAGTGCATGACTTGGGCAACAGGTGGCAGTGTTCACTTTTCCAGCATGCCACATTACCTGCGAGCCAGAAGAGTAGAGAGTTTCTCTTGCCAGGCGGACACCCCACCTGGGTAGAAGGCACTAGAGCAAAGAGGAGGAGGTCAGTGACCTGAGTGGGGTCAGGAGGCAGGATATAGAGCCACAGGAACAGGATGGTGATAGACCTGACAGAGGAGTACATACTGGGCAGACCAAGAGGGCACAGCTGGTCAAGTTTGCCCAGAATCATTCCTCCTTCTTGCCACTTCAAGTGGAATCTAAGGATTTACAGGTTGAAGGACAGAGCCCAGAACTCAGACAGTCCTCTGTGGCAGCACAGTTTCTCTGAACAAGATTTTTTCCTGACGTTAAGCAGGCACAATGTCTACAATCCCAACACGCAAAAGGCTGAGGCAGGATAGCCCCCAAGGCAAGAGGATCATGAGCTGAAGGCCAGCCTATGCTACCAAAGCGAATCTCTGTCTCAAAAAAAAATCTCCCCAATTGTATGAGCCTTATTTGTCCCCTACCCTAGAACTCTGCAGTGCCCTGATTCCGCATGAGCAGGGGAGACAATGTAGTGGGTGAGCTTTGTTTATATTCATGGGTGCCTGACTTCTAACACTGGGTTCTTCTTGTCAATACATAGTGACAGGCACCATAGACGAGATCTCCAGGAATCACAGCCTGTTCCTAGATACCAAAGGAGGCTTTTATTCTCCACCCTGCAGGAATCTGGGGCCTCTCCCAAGGTCAGTCAGATGCTCACACAGGCTGGGGCTGAGCAGGTCAAGCTTAGCCTACAATACCAAGCCTCCTCATCACTACACAGCCTCTCAAACAGGGGGAAGTCTGTGCAAATTTGTCCAAAGACTACTGTTAAGGGAGATCAGTCCTCTGTGGGCTGCACCCAAATCTCTATATTTCATCTGAACAAACTCTGATCAAAAAACAGTGGCTGAACCCCCACCAAAAGCCAAATCCATGTGCAACCCACCCAGGCAAATAGGCCCTAGCCTGGCTCTTAACACTGGCACTTTGGACGCCCAAATCCTGTACCCCAGCCCCGCTCCCCCGCCCCCCACACTTGCCTCTACTTGAAAGGTCAGCAGTGCCCCCAAGGTCTCCAAGGTCCCCTGCTGGTCCATTCTAATCTCATCATGCTACCCCTCAAAGGCCAAACACCCTTTCCCACTTCCTGTCACAGCTATATACCAGCAACTGTGTGGGCTTCCTAAGAGGTCCCTCATATCTGCACAGTCCTTTCTCACAGCAGGCTGGTCTCTCCATCTCAGGACACACCCCTTCTTCTCTTCCCTTTGGGCTTCCAAAGGGGAAAATACTCTGCTCCTCCAGGCCCAACAACTCAGAGGCCTGCATGGCCTCTGGAACCCCCTCATTTTCCATACGTTGGAGGTCTGCATAAACCCAGCTTAACAACTCACCAGTGGGGACAGAGGAAAGGGCCATGGTCCCATAGTATGAGAAGGCGCCAGTCTCAAACTTCATGTTCTCCTTCCCTGCTTCCACCTCTACCTTCCCCTGCAAGAACACAGAGTCAGAGTTACAACCACAGAAAGAGGTGAACCCTGAGCAAACAGGGCATTACAGGAGGAAGAGCTGACTCCAGAGACCTGTAGAGCTTAGTATGGCCTCTCAGGGAAGCAAGAGGGGCAAGAAGAGGTTCCATGACAGGGAGCAAGCTGACCACTAGCCTGGCCCAGGGTTGGGGGAACTCACCTGAAGGATGAGAATGAAGTAGTCAGCTGGCTTGTTCCGGGTGTACAGATAATGGCCTGAGCAGTATTTGTTACGTTCATCAAACTTGAGTTCCTGAATGACATCTGGGTACTTGAGCAGTCGCAGCAGGATTTTCTCTGATATCAAAGAGGGGCTAAACTGGGATACCTCTAGAGACAGAGACAGAGGCAGAGAGAGAGGGAGAGAGAGAGAGAAAAGACTTCACACAGGGCCCAGGCCTAGTGACTCTAAAGCAGAGTCACAGGGGAGCTGCCATCTGAATGGCAGCAGCCACTCCCAGCTATGACAGCTCCCTCCCCGACAGGCCACCCCTATGGTTTCCATCTCCCTGAGAAAGGCTGCATGCACTTGGCTGCTGACTGCTTAGACTCAAGTCTGTCTGCCTGCACAGACCTGAAGGATGACTTTTGTGCTAGTAACCAATGACCTTGGGTAAATTACTGAACCTGTGTCTTGATTTTCTTATCTGTAATGTAGAGATAAAAGCCCCACAGGTGGTTCCTGTGTTCAAATGGGATAATACACACAGAGCAGTTCAAGATATGTTTTTAGCATGTAGACAGTACTTTATAAATATTCCTATAATTATCATTATCCTTACCAACCTCGTAGTAAGAAAAATAAAGTAACAGGAATCAGTGCACCTTCGGTAAGTGAGAGTTGGGAAGGAAGCTGGATTATGAAAGAGAGGTAAGAAGACAGGATTTATTGTTTCTTTGTTTTTTACCATGTCCTGAAGGGAGCTGTGGATCATGGGCAAAAAGAGAGAAATATCACTGGTCTTCAGAGACCCCTGTGGAACTAGCACATGTTTAGAGATTTAGGGAGATGACAACAGAGTTGAATGCAGGCTCTCAAGGCAGGTGAGCTGGGGTAAGGGTATGTGCTGCATGCCAGAGGTATATGGCCAGTGGAAGGGTCCCTTCTCCATGCGTCTTCACCAGTTCCGATGGGCCTGAGATGCTCCCTCTGGTGTTCCCAGTGCTTAGTTTCTGTCTTTTTTGTATTTTTGTAATTTTTTGGTCTCTATACTGGGGCTTGAACTCAGGGCCTGGATGATGTCCCTTAGCTTTATCACTCCCGTGCTGGTGCTCTACCACTTGAGCCACAGCTCCACTTGCAGCTTTTTGCTAGTTAATTAGAGATGAGTCCTGTGTAGGCTGACTTCATATTGTGATCCTCAGATCTCAGCCTCCTGAGTAGCTAGGATTACAGCTATGAGCCACTGGCACCCAGCTTCCAGTGCTTATGTTCAACACACTCAGACACTGCTTACAAGTCTGAAAGATGAGCTACTCATAGCAAAGATTGGCAGGATGGTCCCAGGGAGGGAGGGATGCCTGGATTCTTCTAAGAAGGCTCTGTGTCCCTACACTTGTTTCATAGCCTTCCTAGGGGGAAGTGGCCAGAGGAACAGGATTTTTGCCTCTGTGACTGTTTCCACCAACAATAAATAGTCCTCCACACAGTCTTACCTGATGCCAGAAAGCGATGAGCAGCCAGAAGGAGTTGTGGTGAAATTTTTACTTTGAGTTCACTGTCAGTGTCCTTGAAGGCTGAGAAGTCACGCTTGTTCTTCTCAGACACCCGTTTCCGGCTTCGATTGTCAGCTATAAGAGAAAGGACCTGAAACTAAGAACACTGATCTCCAAGGACTAGGAAACCTGCTCTCCAGCTCCCGAGGCTTTTGGATGTGTGTGTGTGCTGGTCCTGGGTCTTGAATGCTGTCCCTGAGAGGCTTTGTTTTGTTTTTACTCAAGTTCTCTTTCACTTCAGCCACAGCTCCACTTCCGCTTTTTTTTTTTTGGGGGTGGGGGGGTAGGGGGCGGCTTGGGCAGGGGGTAGTTAAATCGAGATGAGTCTCATGGAGCTTTCTGCCAAGCTGGCTTGGAACTGCAATTCTCAGATGTCAGCCTCCTGAGTAGCTAGGATTATAGGCATGAGCCACTGGTGCCAGGCCAGCTCCCATACCTTATCCCAAACAGGAGGGGCAAAGAGAGCCTCCTCTCACTGCATTCCATACCAAATTCCTTGCTTATGGCAGCCAGTACTGGGCATCTGGGACTAGGTCTTGCTCAAGGTGTCGGGCCTTCCCATCTAGGGACACAAGATTTCAGATCTGAGCTGGAAATGGATTCTGGACTTGTAGAGTGGGCCAAACTTACTGTACATGTCCGACTCATCCAGAATCTCAGACTTGATGATCTCCTCGATGACGTCCTCCAGGGTGACCAGGCCCAGCACCTCATAGAAGGGGTCGCCCTCACCCTCGTTGTTCACCTTCTGCACAATGGCCAGGTGGGACTTCCCTGTGGGAACAGTGAACTGAGTCAGAAAACACACAGGCACAGGTATGGAACTCTCTTCATCTCTTTTCTTTTTTTGGGTCAGTCATGGGGCTTGAACTCTGTGCTTGGGCGCTGTCCCTGTGCTCTTTAGCTCAAGGCGAGTGCTCTACCGCTTGAGCCACAGCACCACTTCCAGTTTTCTGGTGGTTAATTGGAGATAAGAGTTTCACAGACTTTCCTGCCTGGGCTGGCTTTGAACCGTGATCCTCAGATCTCAGCCTCGAGTAGCTAGGATTACAGGCGTGAGCCACCAGCGCCCGGCTGAAACTCTCTTCATCTCAATGTCTATACACACTTAGGGTCAAAGTCATTGAGGTTTAGTTACAGCAGGTTTTCTCCTGCCTTCTGAATTTCCTGATGTTTGTACTAATGGGTATCACTTTAATGCAAAGGAAGTCTTTTTAAAAGTCTTTCACTAAGCTGGCTCGGGGCTTGAACTCAGGGCCTAGGCACTGTCCCTTTAGCTTTTTTTGCCCAAGCCTGGTGCTTTACCACTTGAGCCACAGTGCCACTTCTGGATTTTTGGTGGCTAATTGATAAAAGAGTTGGGCTGAGAATGTGGCTTAGTGGTAGAGTGCTTGCCTAGTATGCATGAAGCCCTGGGTTTGATTCTTCAGTACCAGTATAAACAGAAAAAGCTAAAAATGGTGCTGTGGTTCAAGTGGTAGAGCTAGCCTTGAGCAAAAGAAGCTCAGGGACAGTTTGCAGGCCCCGAGTTTAAGTCCCAGGATTGGGAAAAAAAAGAGAGAGTCTCACAAACCATGATCCTCAGATTTCAACCTTCTTACAAGCTAGGGTTACAGGCATGAGCTTCTGGCACCCAGCAAGGATCCCTTGTTTAAAGAGGATGAAAGCAACAACGTCCAGGCTGGTGCCTGTTACCAGGCTCTTGGGATTCTCAGCGAGCAGACAGACCTATACTACAACGGCAGCTAGACTGAGGGTCTGATGCTGTCCACCCCCATAGGGCTTCACACTCAGTTCCTCCACATTGCTCTCTAGCAAGCTCTCCTGCCTAGATCCAGGGGCTGCCACACTTCCCAAAGGGAAGTTTCTCAGTTCACAAAGCCATTAACAAATTAGTCCACTGTAATTAGGCTAGGCAGAGCTTGTAATTAGAAAGAGGCCTCCCCCTCAACCTGGAGCAAGCCAGGAGAAATTAGGAGGTAGGGGTGGGGCAGATCCTTCTGCAGAAGCTTCCAGGCTCTCTTTTTGGGTGTCCACCTTGCTCTTCTGCCCTAGTCCTAGCAAACAAAAAGGATGAACAGCCAAGAAGGGCTTGGTCCACATTCTAGATAGGAATGAAGTTACATGCCACCAAGCAGAGTTGGGGGGGTGGGTGGTTGGGGGTAGGGGGGGTTAAGGAGATAAAAGGACAAGACACATAAGTTTAAAACAAACTCAGGAAAGAGCCATAGGGATCATGAATGTCAAATCTGGGTCTCTGGCATGAAATCCCTTCCCAAACTAATACTGGAGGCCTCATTGTAAAGCTAAAAGTTATTCAAAACACTTTCAGGAGACCTTCCAGGCCACAGAAAAGCCCTCTACCCGTGGGACTCTTCAGAATTCTTAAGGATCCCTTTGGAAGAACAGAAAGGACATGAGGTCTGCAAAGAAAGTAAAATCATCACAGCATTACCTCTGCCCCCCTCCCCATGCTGAGGGGACGCACTGATTTTGAAAGGTTTCAACACATATACTAGTTACTATAATATACAAAAGTTACAGTCAATAAAGGTTTAGTACTTTTTAGTACTTTGCTGGACTTAACTACAAAGTCCCTGGTATCTTTCTAGAGCTGAACCAACAAAGGCAAGATATATAACCTGGTCAGAACCCTGGAGTCTGTTCTCTGGGCCTTTGCACTTGCTGGAGGCTGACTTTATAGGAGTATTCTCTAGGGAAAAAAAGAATACCTCCAGGGGGCAGCCAAATAAAACTATGTCACCAAACCAGGACAAGAATTAAAGAAGGCAGCTTTTAACACCTCCTAAACTGGGTTTCTCTAAAAAACCTGTTGGTGATGCCTACTTATTTTGAGGGGGGTTGTTTTGTTCTGTATTTGTTTTTGTGATAGTACTTGATTTTGAATTCCAGGGCCTAGGCATTGTCCTTTAGCTTATTTACTCAAGGCTGGTGGCTCTATCACTTGAGCCACAGTTCCACTTGCAGCTTTGTGGTGGTTAACTGGGATAAGAATCTCACAGTCTTTCCTGACAAGGCTTGCTTTGGACTTCTATCTTCCGATCTCAGCCTCCTGAGTAGCTAGGATTACAGGTATAAGTTATTGGCACCCAGTTGTCATTGTTGTTTTAATGCTCATGGTGAACAGGTAAAAGAGTACAGTATTTCAGAAGGCCAACTGGGAAGGATGACTCAAAACAAAGCATCCCTAACCTCAGACACAGAACTTTCTCTCCTTGGAATTTATCCTATAGAGATAGACTCCACCATGCCACAAAAGGAGTTTATCACAACCTTCTCCCTAACAGCTCTAACCTAACCACTAACTCAGCTACAGCTGAGTCCTGGACAGAATCCCTGGCTGCTCTAGAGACAATCTAGTAGAGCTGGATGGGTGAAATGTGGAATGGCACCATGTAGAAGAACAAGTTGTGGGACATAGTGTCATGGAGTGCATAGGAACAAAAAACACAGGGCTTGAGCTGGCCTAGAAATATCTGGAAGTGGCCACAGGATCACATTTGAACAGCAGATGTTCTATACTGTTCTATTAGATGGTAAAACTTACTTTTATTAATTAAAAAGGAAAAAAAAAAAGAGCCAGGTGCTGGTGGCTCATGCTTGTAATCCTAGCTACTCAGGAGACTGAGATCTGAAGATCAAATCTGGAAGCCAGCCCAGACAGAAAAGTCCATGAGATTCTTGGCTCCTATGACCACCAAAAAGCCAGAAATGGAGCTCTGACTCAGGTGGTAGAGTGGTAACCTTAAGCAAAAATACTCAGATACAGAGCCCAGGCTCTGAATTCAAGCACCAGAACTGGCATAAAAGAAAACAAAACAAAAAAAACCCTGGGAATGTAGTTCAGTAGTGCAGCCCTTGCCTAGCATGCTTCCAGGTACTGGGTTCAACTTTTAGCACCACAAACAAAAAAACCAAACCAAACAAAACCCTTAAGAAATTAGAGAACAGGGCTGGGAAGGTGGCTCAGTGGTAGAGCGCTTGCCTTGCATGCCTGAGGCCCTGGGTTCGATTCCTCAGCACCACATAAGCAAAAAGAAAAAAGCCGGAAGTGGTGCTGTGGCTCAAGTGGTAGAGCGCTAGCCTTGAGCTGAAGAGCTGAGGGACAGTGCCCAGGCCCAGAGTTCAGGCCCCACGACCCGACCCAAAAAAAAAAAAAAAAAAAAAGAAAAAGAAATTAGAGAACAAAGAGAAACTAATGAGAGTCTCTAAAGTTGAACAACAAAGACCCTCTGTTCTCCTCCCCGCCCCCCCCCCCCCCCAGCATCACTGGCTATGCTGACACAGGCCCAACTCCTATGAGTGTGGTGTACCTTTTGACATGAATCAATGAATAGCATCTTGCTCAAACCCCAAATCAGAAAACAGCCCCAACACACACACACACACACACACACACTAATGGCTCAGAAAAGCTGACAGCTTCTCTATAGGGGAGAAACATCACTTTGGAGGAAATGAACTGTTGCCCGTGGGTGCCCTCTAGTGGCAGTCACCTCAGTAACAGACACCTTATAGGTATGCAGTCAAGTTCAAGTTCACTCCCTCACCCCAACCCCCTCTAAAGGGCTGAAATTTGGCCACTGTTCTTTTTTCTTTTCTTTCCTTTCTTTTCTTTTCCCCTTCCTTCTTTCCTTCCTTCCTGTCTGTCTGTCTGTCTGTCTCTCTCTCTCTCTCTCTCTCTCTTTCTGTCTGTCTGTCTGTCTGTCTTTCAGGTGGCTCGGTGGTAGAGTGCTTGCCTCACATGCATGAGGACCTGGGTTCCATTCCTCAGCACCACATAAGCAGAAATAGCTGGAAGTGGCACTATGGCTCAGGTGGTACAGCACTAGCATTCCCCCTCCCCGCCCCCCCCCCCCCCCCCCCGCCCCATCTGGCTTGAACTCTGGCTTGGGTGCTGTCCTTGTGCTCTTCAGCTCAAGGCAAGCCCTCTACTGCTTAAGCCACAGTGCCACTTCTGGTTTTCTAGTAGTTTATTGGGGATAAAGAGTCTCAACGGCCTTTCCTGCCTGGGCTGGCTTTGAGCCATGATCCTCAGATCTCAGCTTCCTGATAGCTAGGATTACAGGCGTGAGCCATGGGTACCTAGTTAGAGCACTAGCCTTGAGCTGAAGAGCTGAGGGACAGTGCCCAGACCCAGAGTTCAGGCCCCACGACTGACTCTCCCCAAAAAATAAAATAAAATAATCAGATCTTGAATATATGACTGGCATAATTTATGACTGGACTGAAACTCTAAAAGGAAAATAGAGGGTAAGATAGGGAATAATTTTGTCATGCATTTCAAGTACATATGAAAACAGCATTAAAAACCTCAATAAAAACTGTTGATCAGGGGCTGGGAAGGTGGCTCAGTGATAGAGCGCTTGCCTTGCATGCATGAGGCCCTGGGTTCGATTCCTCAGCACCACATAAGCAAAAAGAAAAAAGCCGGAAGTGGCTCTGTGGCTCAAGTGGTAGAGTGCTAGCCTTGAGCTGAAGAGCTGAGGGACAGTGCCCAGGCCCAGAGTTCAGACCCCACGACCGGACCCCACAAAAAACAAAACAAAACAAAACAAAAAAACTGTTGATCAATAAGGGGATGGAGAGGAGAAAGAGAAGGGGTACTAGCAGGAGCTGTTGGGCTAACAAGGAGGCTGAAGGAGGCTGAATAAGTTGGAACAGATTGTTGGCAGCTGTGAAAATAGGACAATGAAACCTGTTGAAAGTGCTTTGGAAAGCAAGAAGGGGAGGAGGGAGAGAGTGATAGAGGG